AACCGCTGCAAATCCTACTACATCATCAATCCTGCAGTAACAGTAAACGCAAACAATAATTTAGGAGTTGGCACATGGATAGCTCTGCAAGCTGAACAGGTGTGGGGCATAAGTGCATACATATGGGCGTATGTATACACGCAAGCACACATAGGTTTGGCGTGGAGATTTCTACATATGCATTCGGATGTGTTGTGACTATATTCAGGTATATACTGCAGGCCATAGAAGGGCAAAGTTATCTAAGCTTCCTAGCCATAACCAAACACTAGAAGGAAGGACTGAGCCATTGGGCTTCAGGGGTTAGGACAGAGTCTCAGGGGCATACAAGTTAACTGGCATAACATGGTTCCTGAGGGCAAAGCTCTTGACCCAAATTTGGTGAGTAGCAAGTTCAGGTTTTAAAAGCTGTTGAGTGGCCATCTGAGATAAAACTACTGGTCTGTTCCCATCTGAAGCATAGAGGAGTGAAGAAACTCAAAGGCGCAGGAAAACAATGAGCCCAAAGGACTACAGAATCACACAACCCACAGCCCCTACTGGCTGCTCAGCCCCTAGGAGCCTGAGACCAGAGAACACAGGTTGCTACCACGAATGACCCTTCTGGGAGAAATCACAATAGAAGGTCTTGAAGAGAGCATGAGAAAAAATGCAGAACGAAATTCAAAATCATGGACAAAGACTAGACTAGACTGGCATGATAGGGACTAATGGAACCCCTGAGACTACTAACCCCCACAACACCCTTTAGCCCTGGAACCGAGCCCACTCCTGGAGATCACCTGATAGCCAAACAACAGACAGGCCTACCGAGTGCACAAGAACCCAGGTGAGGAGCAGATTCCTCAGAGCTATCAGCCCCAGGAGACCTTGCATTTGAAACTGCAAAAGGGTAGCATGTGCCCCCAAACGAAGCTCAAAAACCGGACAAGATAGACTGATGGAAACAGGGAGCCCAGGGAGGTGGTGAGAAGTGTGCCCTTAGGTTGCACCGCGGGGACTGCAGCTATGAAGGAATGTCATGAAACAAAGTTTATATAAGCTGTTGAATGGAAAACTAATTTGCTCTGCACACTTTCCCCCAAACCACAGTAAAATGTTGGAACAAAAACCACTGCCAAATAAAGTACTATTTATTTTATGTGCCTGCTCAAGTAGATCAAATGCATTTTGACTAGAACATGCATCAGAGCAAATAGCGGCACTGAACTTTGTCTGGCAATACAGAACAGAATGTCACAAAAATGGCTAGTACCCACAGGGCACAACTATGAGGGATTGAAAACGTATCCATTATCAAAACTTGAAACAAAAAATATTTATTGAATAATAAAAATGATGAAGAACTCGCAGATCTGTCCTGGCTTTGACTTGGCACACTAGGCTCTGAGAATGTTTCAGATACGCAAGCAAATGACTGACTGCTTGTTCCTGAAACAAGGAAATGGACTCCTTCTTGTTCTAAGAGATAAAAGAGGAATCTCGGCGCTATGAACTTTCAAGACCACATCACAATTACACTCAAACCAGACTGCCTGCTGCCCTTCACTGTGTCCTCTGATGCCCCGTGCTTTGGGGGTCGGTTTTCTCATTGGCACGCCCTGCCTCCTCTGCCCATCCAGCCCATGGCAGTCTGGTCACAAACAACTGTTGGACTGTGCGACTCAATTAGTTACAGGGAAAGATAATTTTAAAAATTTTCATTTTCTTTAATTACTGCTTTGCTGTGAGGTAGTTGAAAAATGCGGAAATGAGTTACCAAGGAGACCGAAGGAATTTTCAATCTGGAAGGCTTAAGGAGCAGAAATTTTGACTTGTAAATGGATTACACTTGACTCTGACTAAAGACAGGTAGATGGCCTAGAAAGTCTACCAGTCCTCTTTTCTGCTTGATCAGAAACACACATGCCAGGCTGTCGAAGTGAGATGTCAACCTACAGGTACAAACAGAAGCAGCTACCTGCTAATAAAAGTGCTGCTCAAATGCAGCACAGAACTATCGAGAATTAGCAAGCATTTCCCAAACTAGGGCAGTGACAGAAAGGAAAAATATAATTTTCCTTTTGTCAGCACATATTCACGGCTTTGAAACAGATATTTAAAGTTTGTTTCTGTACGTACAATTAAGTAGTTAATACACTACAGTGTGAATATTATGATATATATGACATATTTTGGTCTAGTTAACTGCCACCAAAGTGGCATTGTTAGACTATAAGCATGTTGCAAACAGTTCCTAATTATACATTGCTCATTAGAGGACACAAAATGCAAAGAAGTCCTAGTGGAGAATCACAGAGTTTGAACACACAGAAACCAACTCACTGCCACCGAGTCGATCCCGACTCATAGCGACGTTGTAGGACAGAAGTGCCCCTGTGGATGTCCGCCTGCCACTCTTCACAGGAGCAGAAAGCCTCGTCCTTCTGCCCTGGAGCAACCAGTGGGCTCGAACTGCTGACCTTGTGGTTAGCAGCCCCGTACATAACCCCACACAGCTGTGGGCCTAAAGACCAATGTCACCTGTGAACCTGTCATAAAAACCTTATCTCTGTCCTGTCTTCAGAGACGCTCTGGTGGTGCTACAGGGTAAGTGGTGGATTCAGACCCGCCAGCTGCTCCGAGGGAGACAGACGAGGCTGTGTGCTCCTGTAAAGATGTTGAGATAGTTTGTTGTGCCAGCCTGGCCGATAAACACAAGTAGGATTAACTGAAGAGCGGAGAGATAATGGCTCGGTGAGCCTCGCCTTTCTTGTCTCTTGCTCTTTGATCACCGGACCAGTGTGCGGCTGCCTTGCTTGTCCTGTGCCTCAATTTATAGGCTATACTACCTGTGGGACGCCTAACCTGTGGACTGTGTCGCTGTAAGTTGAGGTCCCTTTAAGACATCTCTGGAGCTGGGGACTGGCGGTTAGTTGATAGTTGGTGATCTGCCTTGTGATTGGCTGCTGTGCTGAGATAGCCTCGCTCTCTCTGTAAACAGAGGGAGATCTGGCAGCAGACTAGACTTGAAGGACTGCTAGTCTTTCACAACTCTCTCTCACGGGAGTTAGTTGTACTAAGCCATTTGTAGTGCTTTATAATTTAACTGTTCATTTCTTGTATTATATATTTATCTGTATATGATTTAACAGTTCATTTCTTGTTATATATCTAATTACCTTTATAAATAAATTTATTTAATTATCAGCAATTTGGTTTTATATCTCTAGAGAACCCTGTCTAACACAGATGTACAGCCTTAGAAACTCTGTACAGGTTCACTGTCAGTTGGAGTCATCTTGATGGCAGTGGGTCTGGAAGGGGGCATCTCAAGGGAGGGAAAAGGCTTGTTCAATACTGCAAAAATCTATTAAAGGAATGCCTCAAACAAACAAGCTATAAAAGAACCCCCATAAGATCAGTTGGAGAGCTGTAGCACGAAGATTTGACAGAACCCAACACAAATTCCCGATGAAAGCTCCCAGCCAACCACGATGGGCAAGGCGCTTTCTCAAGCTCCCAGCAAGCACCGACAGAACCCCCAGCTCAGGCGGTGGCTCTGACTACTCCCTGCTCTGCTGGGCCCACCTCTTACACTTACAGACTCAGTCACCCAGGGTTCTCCTACATTCTCTGAACACACATAGCTGTCCTGTTTCCAGGCTTTAAAAACATATTCTTTCCTGCCTGGAATATTTTCCTGACCCTCCCCCTGTCTAACATTTATTCATACACTCCATAAGACTCAGCGTGGCCGCCATTCCCTCTAAGAACCTTCCCAACCCCCTGCCAGAGATGCTCTTAAGTGCCCCTGCAGTACCCTGCACGCCCCTTATGGAGCGTAGTAGACCATGTTCAGATTATTTATAAGTCTGCATACACTCCAGGGCCCAGTGAGATTACTTGAGATAGAAGTACACATACATTTTTGGAAGCAGATTAATGATTCAGAGAAAGACTGTTTTGAAGCTTCACGGTACACGTGATATATCAGATTTCAGCCTATGTCAGCCGTCAGCCATCAGTACACTTCCAGAATCCGTTTGTTCAGTGCTATCCCAGCCCTCCAAAGGATGGAGACTGGGTGCAATTCTTTGATGCTCTCCACCACTCGTTTGGACGTCCCTGCCATTTCCTGTTCTTTATTCTTATACATTATACCAAATGCCAAGGGCCCTTATATTTCCCTTTATCTAGCTACACCCCAGGTGTTCCTTTGAGGAAAAAAAAAAGTCAAAACATTAAAACTTCATTTTGTACACTTTTGTACTACTTTTTGTGTTACTCTGAATCTTCTCAGTTTCTTACCATGGTGCTGGTGTTAGCAACTTATTATCTTATTCAATTAATAAAAGTAGCATATGTCCATTAGGAGAAATGGTCCAATCTCACAGTCATATGAATTATTACTATTATTTACATCTACTTCCTTCCTTTCTTTTTCCCTTCAAAAACTGTGTGTGGTATGTGAGCCAGCTGTTCACGTAACATTAAACAATATAATGTAAGAATTTTCCAAGTAATCAAAAACTCTTTAAAACAAAACAAACACAGGTATATGCTACTTAATTGAGAAGCTGTGTCGGTTTATGTAACCATTCCCGAGGGGCACAGAGTCCTGGCACACCAAATCCATCTCATTAAACATGCATACGGGTGTCTTTTAAGCAGGAGTCTGCTTTCCGTTTCAACACTGGTTCCCACCAGCATCACATCTTCTTCAGCCCTCCTTCCACATTTGGAATGCCAGGAAAAATAATTCATGAACTCACGGTTGCATAACAGCTAACCCTGCTTTCTCTAACCTTTCAATGAGCAAGCTTGAGAGGATGGGGTGAGAAGGGCAGAGGTGCCATTAAGAACTTCGGAGAAAACAAAACCAAGCATTTACAACTTTGAGTGCTGAGGCATAAAGATTATACTTGCATAAGGATGATTATTTTTCTGGCTTTCTCTGAAAAAGAAAAAAGATCACACAGCCTCCTTTGAAAACACCTTAGAAGCATGCTATTTCTTACCAATGCCAAAACATTTAAAAATTCTCTTGTGTCAAAATGTAATAAAGTCCGAACATAGGGATATATCTCTTCCTCTGGGGAAGCTTCTGCTGAATGCAGGCGAATTAGAAATTCAAACACCTGCAAGGGGGCGGGGGGTGGGGAGAGAAAAAACAGGCGGTCATTTTCCTTTTCCAGGCCTAGCATACCTACCAAGTTATTCTGCTAAAGCAATGGTTCTCATTTAGATGAAATAAAATGGAATCCAATTTAAATTGCCACTATAAGTTGGCCTTTAAAACCAGTCTCAGTTAAAATTACTGACTTCAGTCATGCTGGGGTATGGGCTCTCTGCTACATTAATGCCTGTTGCTCCTGACCCACATGTAAGCATTAAGCAGGATTTTAGTGCATCTTAACCACAGGTATGTTGTGATAGTCCATTGAGTCAATTCCAACTCCTACTGATCGACAAACCAGCGCAATCCTGTCCCAATCCTGTCCCACGGGGTTTCCAGGTGGACGTCTCTTCTTCTTTGAACTCACTGACCTCTCAGTTGGAACCCAAACACTTAACCTTTGGCCACAAGGACGCTTTCACCAGAGATAAGTCGAAAAGCTGTGAAAATAGTGCCCACCTGGTTTTTGACCACGGGAACAAGATCTTCAGGGATGTCACCAAGGGGGTAGGCACGCCCTGCGAGGCAACAGCTACAAGAAGAACGACAACAGGTATTTACTTCGTGACTTCCCCAGGTCAGCTTCCCTTGTTTCTCACCCCCTGGACACCAGTTTGAATCTTAAGCAAACTCAGCTTTTGTCAGTTAGGCAAGGTCCAAAACACTGCGATGGTCTCAGGCTCAGGAAATGTGGGCGTCACGCATGGCGGTGCAGCAAGACATCCCGGACGGAACAGGGGCTTCCATCTCTCATCTGCCCTTCAAAAACCAAGTTGCACCGAAGAGGCAGCGAGTGGAGGCAGCTTACCAAAAGCTCTCAATCTCCCTGGTAGTCCTGAGGGACAACTGGCCTGGTAGTAGCCTGATGCCCCCAGAGACTTTTACACCAATGATTTTAAAGATGGTGACTGGCGATGGAAGATGAGCATGGCCAATACATGACTGGAAAATAGCAACAAGAAAACCTGAGGGAGAGTGAGTTCTGACCAGGCATTCACTCTACACGTTTGCCTCCAAATCAGAAAATGACTTAATGATTTCCCTGGTGGGTTGAGCTATTCCAGTTTGTTTGAAATCGTGGAGCAAGGGAGATTTTTCAACTTCTTTGACCCAGTCAATCATTTTCAATGTTAGACAAGAGATAGGTGGGACAGTCTAAGAACTTGAACACACACAACCAGACTCGCCGCTGTTAAGTCAGGTCCAACTTAAAAGCGACCCTACAGAACAGACGGGAACTGCTCTGCGGGGTTTCTGAGGCTGGAATCTTTATGGCAGCAGGCTGTTTCATCTTCCTCCTGCGGAGTGCCTGGTGGACTAGAAAGCCAACCTTCTGGATGGCAGCCAAACACAAGACTACTGTACCACTACGGTTCCCACACCTCATAAAATCCTAGGAAAATGGTGCTACATGCAACCTTGCACAGAAATCATCTATGTAACAAGTGTGAAATAGAGCTTGACATTAACGCTGACCCTATATAGGAATTTAAATGATGTTCTGTGAGGTTCTGACAACCCTGTCTGCCTGCTGCCTGGCAGCTGTGTACCTGACAATGCCGGGATGACTTCATTCTGCGTCTCCATCGTCCACTGGGAGAAACGACTGCAGGCCTTGGAGGATAAGCACTCCAGTTTTACCTCTGCCACCAACTTCACGATTGAACATACATCATCCCCTTAGATATAAAATTGGGAGCAAGAGGCTTTTGACCCTTATAAAAGTTCCAGTCCCAGAAACCCATAGGGGCAACTCCACCCCACCCTCTTGGGCCACTCTGAGCCAAAATTGACTGGATGGCAGTGGGTTTGGAATAGATGACGTAGATAACACACAGCCCCGAGTCGTCAGTACTTTCAACCGCAGGACTAGACACATTTGTGTAGCATGCTACAAGTTTGAAAGCACCAGCCACTCTCCGGGAGAAAGAGGAGTTTCTACTCCGGGAAAGAGTCACAGTCTTGGAAATGCACAGGGTGGTTCTCCCCTGTACTATAGGGTCCCGATGAGTCAGCATCGAGTCGATGGCACTGAGAGAGAATTCTGTGTTGCAGGGAGTTCTACTGTGCCCTGTAGGATGATTTGCAGCATCCTCAACCTCTACCATACCAGCCCAAGTTATTGACAAGCAAACATGCCTGCATACTGAAAGCAAACCAGGGACTGTTGGGTTGCTTCTGACGCCTAGAAGAACAGCTTCACAGGGTTTCCAAGGCTGTGGTCATTGGAAAGCGGATCACTAGTCCTGTCTCAGAGTGGGTTCAAACCGCCAACCTCTGGGTTAGAATCAACTACTTAACCCTAAACGCCAACCCAGGAATTCACCAAATGTCCTGGGATTGGCTCAAAATTACCCCCAGTTGAGAACTACTGCTTCTCTATGAAACAATTTTGAAAGATGAAAAGTACTATGCAGAGAAGAGATGCAAGTACCCTCAGAATACAGAAAAATTATGGACGGAACATACACCAATAAATGAAAGCTCTTACCTAATATACACGAGAAGCTTGTTGCCCATAACAACGTGCTCATCTGAAATAGAAAGATCTTTAGCAATTCTCTCTTAAAACCTTTTCAGAAATATAAGCTTTATATGGAAACAAAAATTCAAACTTGGCATTTCAGGTAAGATAATAAATTCCCAAACAACAGAAAAACAAGATATAACTACTTTAAAATTATTTTTAAACTTCTACATATTATTTTCACCACTATAAAAATCAATACGAATTATTTAAGCATATATTCAAACACTAGATCTAAGGGTAGGAATCTATGTATTGATGGGTTAACCATTAATGTGGGTTTGGGTGATAACACAGTATGTGATGAGTTAAAATCATACATAGCCAATTAGTTAATTAGTATTAAGGCACAACTATCATTTCATTCAGAACAGGGATTCTTGCCACCTACAGTACCCTGACCTCAGAGGGCCATTGTTCTCCAAGAAAGGATTTATATACACTCAACAATTTGAGGCTCTCTTCAATTCTTCCCATTTTAGAATCATAAGCCTATTTCTTAGACTAAAGGAAACGAGAAGTAAAATTAGACACAGATTTAGGCCAATGGGTCAAAGTCAGCATAGGACAGCATAGGAGCATCAACAATGGGTGAAGTGGCCAGGAATTCTTATGAGATGCATGGTTATAGGCATCTGTGGTTGGTCATAATAATGAGTTGAAGTATCTGTAGCATATGGATTTGGGGCAAAGTGCAAGCAACTCTGTAGTATTTATGCTTTCAGGAACCCTTTATAAATACCACTTGTGATGTCATTAGTAGAGATAAACTGAACTTGTTACTATAATTCCATTTTGTTTCCATTCAAAATGTTATTTGGTCTACCGCAACTAGCACGATGTTTGGGGCAGTCACTTTACTGGTATAAACAGTTCTTGTTTACTGACTACTTAGGTGTGCTCTTTTCATTATAAATCTCAGGTAGGATGTATCTGGTTCGCGACATCCCCAGAGAAAGTTAAATGTACTTAACATGTGCATGTTGATTATTCCACTACTGTGCTTTTTACAGGTTAAGTGCAGGAAGCTTGCACTATTCATTTCTGCATTGCTAACACCCAGCTGAGTGTGAGGCATATAGTAAGTGCACAGTAAATGTACAGTGAATTGAACTGACATATGCATTTAATTTATCCAACCCCTTTGTACTCCTTTCTGACTCAGGTATCTTTTTCTTTTAGATGATTCTCTGTAGCAAAAGCTCACAGATTCTATTGGGATTTTTCAATATTCTAATTTAATTTCCACTACATAGATATATTTTTGAAAAGCCATTTTCAAGTTTGTCTGAAAAAGATTAGGTTCAGGGTTGCTACAAGGTGTGAGAGACCACAGCCCTGCTGACTGGTCTCGACCCTCGAGATCAAGCAAACAGGCAACGAAGCCACCGGGGAGTAGTGGGGAGCAAACAGAAGTCGGCAGCATCTGGTGGGGAAGTCACACTCGCTTGGAGGGAGACTGGCAGCGGCGCAAATAGCTTTTCTTCTCTGCCATCCTCACCTGGGCTAATGCACTGCCGGCTGTGCACACCGCAGCAACAAGGGGCACCTGGACACTTCTAATCTTCCTGACTTCAAACTCAAACTCACTGTCATCCAGTTGATTCCAATATATAGTGACCCAATAGGCGAGGGTAGAACTTCCCCTGTGGGTTTCCAAGACTTAACTCTTTTTACGAGAGTAGAAAATTTCCTCTTTCTCCCATGAGGGACTGGTGGTTTCAAACTGCTGACTTTGTACTTTGCAGCACAACACGTAACCCACCATGTCACCCAAGTTAAGGGGCCAGAAAAGGGGAGCCAGGAAACTGGAAATGTAGAAGAGAGTGCAAGAATTCCAAATGAGAGAGCCAGAGAGGTTCTGACTGCGTACATCCCTGCCGAATTCCTAATCTTGGTGCACAAGAAAAAACGGCAGCTAGCTCAACCACAGACAGAAACACTGATCCAGACTGGAGCTGGCTCCTTGAGGGAGACCACTATAAAAATAATGCATACACCAAAAAAGCTAAGACAGTTAAAATGAATATATAACTTGTCAAAATAATCAAACAGAAGAAAGAGAGACGACAGGAGAGGCAGAGGAACAGAGATGAACAGAAACACAAAGTCAGTGTAGACTCAAACTCAACCATGTCACCAATTACACTGAAGACGAAACTTCAACTAAAAGATAGAAATGATCAGAATGGATTAAAAAAGCAAGATCCAATTATATGCTCTTTACAAGAAATAGACCATAGTGATACACATATAGGTTGAAAGTGAATGTTTAAGATTTACCCTGCAAAGATTAATCATAAATAGACTAGATTTGCCACATTAACATCAGATAAACTGGATTCAAAACACTTCATACAAAAAAAAACCCCAAGCAAACAAAACAAAACAAAAAAACCCCCAAACAAACGCTTAATATGGATCAATTCAACAAAAGATCTGACCACCTAGAAATGTATAGATATTTAAAAACAAAGCAACAAAACATATGAAGGAAAAAAACTGAGTTAAAAGCAGAAATAGACAACTGGAGCAATTTCTAAGCGATTAACAGCACTATCAGACAAAGAAACAGCCAAGACAAAGGCGAGCTGAACAACACTAGCAGGAATATTGGCTTAATTGGCATTTATAGTATACTATGTTCAACAACAGCAGAATATGCATTTCCTTCAGGTGCACATGCTATGTTTAAAATGAGAGAATGTGTTCTGAGTCATAAGGCCAATCTCAACATTTAAACTACTGCAATTATATAGACTATGTTCTATGATGATTAATAAAATTAAATTAGGAATCTGTAATAATAAGAAAATCATGGAAATCCCAAATATTTGAGAATTAAGCAACATACTTTTAAATAAGCAGTGGGTAAGAAGAATTCAGAAGACTATTTAGATAATGTTTATCAGTGAGTAAGGTAAGAAAATTTGTGGAACACAAAAACTTTAAACACCTATATTAGAAAAGAAGAAAAAGCTCAAGATCAATTATCTAAGCTTCTTCTTTAAGACACTGGATAAAAAAGAGCAAACTAACCTAAAGGCAAAGACAAAAGAATAAAGAGCTCAAGAAAGAAAGAAATGTTTTTAAACTGATGGTGGTACCAATTGTACAATTATGCTTGATCTAATTGAATTATGGATTGTTATAATATCTGTAAGAGCTCCCAATAAAATGATTAATAAAAAAAATCAAAATATTGGATTGGACAAATCTGCTCCAAAATCTCTCTACAGAGTTGCACTGCAAAGATGTCACATTGTATACTAAGGTGTGCCTTATCCAAGTATTTTCAAAAGTATTTGCCAAAGCTGGATGATGAACAAAGAAAATTGAAAGGGCTGATTTGAAAAACAAACAATGAACTAAAAACTAAAGACAATAGAGAAAATCAATGAAATACAAAATTGGTTCTTAGAAGAAAAAAAGTCACTATACCTCTAGTTAGAGAGTCAAGAAGATAAAAGACTCAAATTACCAATATCAAACGAGAAGGGGCGTGCTGAAAATGACTTCAGACGTTGGAAGTATAATAAGAAAATACTATGCATAGCTTTATGCAAATTATATTGATGATTCAAAACAATAAAATGGGCAGATTCCTTGAGGGACCCAAATCACTGACACTGACAACAGGGGAGGACAGGCCCTTGGTCAATGAAAAAGCGTGAATTCAGGATGAAAAGTTTTCCCTTCAGAAATATCCACTGGAGAGGAGTGGGGGAGAAGAGGAGCTGAAACCAAGGGCTCAAGTAGAAAGAACACGCTTTGAAAATGATGAGGCAACATATGCACACATCTGATTGATACAACTGATCGGTGGATTGCTATAAGAGCTGTAAAAGTCCCCAATAAACTGATAAAAAAAAGAGAAATAGCCAGACAGAGATGGTTCACTACTAAATACTTCAAATAGGTAAAACATAATAATTCTAATTATACTTAAGTCTTTCAGGAGAAGAAACAATTTCCAAGTTGATGGGTAATTATTACTGAGTCCAAAACCAGACGGACATCACAAGAAAAGAAAATCAGTGCCTGTCATGACCTGAACATTTCTAAAGGGTGCAAGGTCTATCTCTACACACAAAAATCAATTGTATTTCTAAATGTCAGGGAGCTCCAAAAAGTATGTGAAAAGTGGAAATAAAAGATAATGGAAATTCCCAATTAACTCTGAATCCCCTTGGTCCTAGCAACGAACAATAAGCAAATAAAATGCACAGAAATAACTCAATTTATAATAGTATCAAATAGAAGTAAGTTAACTAAAGCTAGTTAACTAGCTTTAGCTTTAGTTAATTAAAAAAGCTCAGGACGTGTACATTACACCCCACAAAATACTGGGAAAGAAAATTGATTTAGACGGCCAGATAAGTGAAGAAACATACCACATTCACACCGCAGAATCCTCAATATTCGTTAAGATGGAAATCCTTCCTAACCTCTTCTACAAAATCAGTGCAATCCCAGAAACAAATCTAACAAGCTTTTAAAAAGAAACTGATGAGGTGATTTGAACATTCATGTGGCAAGACAAAGCACCTACACTAGCTAAATCATTTTTAGAAAGGAAAAGTTGAAGGTCATAAGGTCATCTGATTTTCAGACTGAACTATACAGTATTGTACTGGCATCAGAATTGACATATGAGTGATGGAACACAACAGAGAGCACCCACACTTCCATGGTGAACTGATTTTCAACAGAGGTGTCAAGGTCATTCAGTAGAGACAAGACAGTCTTTTCAACAGATGGTACAGCAAAAACTAGATAGCTAGAAGGGAACAGAAATTCCTTGAGCCACCCCCCCCACCCAAAGAACTCAAAATGGATTATGGACTAAGTTTAAAAGCTAAAATAATTAAAATTTTAGGAGAAAATCTTTATGAAATTGAAATATGCCAAGATTTTCTAAACAGAATATTAAAAGCCTAAACTACCAAAAAGAGAGAGTAAAATGGACTTCATGCAGTCGAAAAACTTTGGCTCTTCAAAAGACATGGTTAAGAAAAAAAAGAAAGCCACAAACTGGGATAAAATTTTTGTGAAACAGTAAAAAAGAAAAGGACTTACATTGAAATGTGTCATTAACTCTATTAACAATCCTATTGAGCTAACTCAAAGAACAAACAAACAAAAACATGTGGACACTTCACAAAAGAAGCAATGTGAATGTCCAATGAACCCATGGAAAAAATGCCCAACACATCACTAATTATTAGGGAAATAAAAATTACAGTCAATTGAGTGTAGTAATCTGGGGAAGAAAAAAACTATATGCATTTGAACTGACATGCATTTTCTTAATGGAAATGAAATGAAAACAACGCCATTAATTAAAAATTAATTAATTAAAGCCATATGAGACATCACTACATGTCACAAGAAGGGCTAGCACCTAAAAAAGACTGACAGTGTTAGATGCTTGCATGGATGTGGAGCAGCTAAAAGTTTCATATATTGCTGATGAATATGCAAAGCAGTACATACAGTAAACCTGTGTAGCAGTACTCTAGAAAACGAAATACACATTTATCTTACCAGCTAGCCATGCCCATTTTAGATATGTACTCAAGAAAAGTGGACATCCATGTCCACACAAAAGCTTGTCTACTTCCTGGGTTCAGGGATGGGGGCAAGAGCAGCACAAGAGGTCCTGAGATTGATGGAACTGTGCCGCATCCTGACTTTATCAGTGTGGGTGCTCTGATGGTCAGGATCTATTATAATTTTGTAAGATCTTATCATTAGGGGGAACCCCACGAGATTGGGTGGAATACACGAGATGGCTATCGCTTTTTACAACTGCATGTGATATATTACCATCTCAAAACACAAAGCCTAATTGAAAAAAGGTAATAAACCTTGTTCATAAATGTTTTAACAGCATTATTTAAGATAGCCCCACACTGGAAGTAACTGAAAATTTCACCAATTGCTCACTGAATAAATAAATTACGCAACGAGCAATTCTCAGTATCATGGTAGTTATAGTCTATACAGTTGCCAAGATTAGTGAACTAGCAAATACCCCTAGAGGAAATACAAGGTTAGGCTTCTGTGAGCGTCTGGTCATGTTTTTAATCAACCAATCAATACGTAACCTTTTTACTGTGTGTTTCTGTTTAAACACAACTTCTAATATACAGTTCTTATAAATAATTGAGTATATTGAGTACTTTCTTATAATACTCATAAAATACAAGCTGGGATGGGTTTGACATTTATCTGATCTTGAGTACCAAGATGGAAATTGTCTTTCAGTCTCAGGAAAACACTGTGCACTTCAGTTTTTCCCTCTCAGTTGTCATCATCTGTATCCACACACTCAGCTCCTTTCCCATAACTTCATCTTGAGCTATAGATGCCACCTTCTAGGAAAGTCTCAGTGCAGCACAAATGAATCCTTTATCTAAATGCACCATATTACGGATTCATTAGTACTGCTTTCATGGACCACACGCTGTCACACATGCCTGCGGGAAGCTTCTCTAACACGTGTCGTCTGAAAGAGCACAGGACAGAGTGCTTGCACTTAGGGACTAGAGAACACTTGATCACCACGCTTGGGGACCGTTCTAAACAGCGGAATCACCAATGAAAGGCACAAAAATGAGGAAAACCTGGCACTCAATAGACCATGAAGGACACATGTTTGCAATATGAGAACTGAAACAAGAGACAGAGGGTCACCCTGTTCAGCCTCAGCTGGGAATTGCGCATCAGACAACTCAAATTTCTCACCACTCTGTACACGTCTGGGGCTGACTGCAAAAGCGCCATGAGAATTGATTGGGGGAGTACAAGTATGTTTTAGCAAGTAGGTGAATTTGCAAATACAGAATCCACAAATAATGAGGATCAGCTGCATATTCAATCCATGGAATACCATCCAGTAATCAAAGGCAACAAAATCTTAGTATAAACAACAATGTGGATGAAATTCCAAAACATTAGGGTACGTAAAAGAAATCAAACACCAAAGATTGTATGATGTGGTCTGCTTCTACTTATATGAAATTCTGGAAAAGGCAAACTAGTAACTAAAAGTAGATCAGTGATTGACTGTTCAGAGGGGCCAGAGGAAATATTTTTAACACCATTGAACTATATGTCCTCCTACAGCTTGATGGTGGTGGTTGTTAGGTGATAACACACAATTACCAACTTCCAGTTACATACATCAAATTGGCAAGTTCTATGATATTTAACAATACCTTACGCATTTTAAAAACAGAGAAAACGAAAGCGTAGAAAAGCGTTACCTGTTAGAGTCTTTCCTGCGTTCAGAGGAGGTGCAATGACTCTGAAAAGTTTCTGTTTCAAAATTAACAGGAGAACAATCACCATCATTCCAAAGAGTAGCACACTTACAAAAAGATAACCACGAATCTTATGCTATTAATCACCTTCCTGGACCCAGGCGTTCTCCTCCTGAAAGAGTTAGCGTCTCGGCCACTGACCAGGGCAGCGCTACCCCGTCCTAGAGGGGGTGTGTGGGGGGAGTCAACTCAGCGCGGCAGTGAGTTTGGAGTATGGGAGTTAGACAGTCATTAGCTATTAAAATTAGAAATTAAAATTTTAATGTGACATGCACTGTCCTGCCAAAGGAGGCTCGCCGAGAAGCAATCTTGTCACTATCCTCCTTGAGAGAAACCACTTAATCATCGACTTTCTGAGATTGTAATTTCCGCTCCCGTCAAGATTTCCCAGCCTCCGAAACTCCGTGGCAGTTCTCCTCTGTGCCTCAGAGATGTGGGGTTTGGGTTGGGTTACGAAGACTGCTCTGAACTGGCAGTAGGTTTTGGCTTTGTAGGCGTCATCTCAATTTCCGTTCTAGAAAATTTCAAAAGGCAAGAAACCCCTTCTAATCTAAACTTCTTTAAGTACGAACATAGCTACTGTTTTCAATGCATGACGACTTTATAGGAAGTGAATTACAAGAGAGGAATTACAGGAACACCAAGCCTCCTACTGTTAAAGTCTCCAAAGGAATATGTAATAACAAATACCAACCACTGCTGAAAGCCAGTACACTTGAAAAATGCTCACGACAAAAAGAGGGGACCGCGATAGCCCAATGTTCTGAGCTATGTAGATATAAATACAAACCAGATTGGGCGGGGGAATGCATAAAAATTCAGCAGCAACACCACCCAAATCCTAACAATCATTTTTTATCAGCATAGAAAGAAGACAGCAAATTAAAACTTGTTTTCAGAGATGGTTTTGATAGAACAGGAAAATGCATTAATTCTTCCTTAATTCTAGTATGAGTTAGAGAACATTCTTTGCATCAGGGTGGGACAGGGCCTCACCGAGGCAGCAGCTGAGACCTTCCTTAGGGAAGTACTGAATCTCGGTGATACCCAGCTGAGGGATGTTCGAATGTAAAGAACAGTTAGCACAGAGGCAACTGGCATCCAAACCAGGGAAGAAAGTGTATGGTGCTCATTTTAGCAAACACTCACGACGAGAGGTGCTACTAAACTGATGGGGTTATGGATTCCAAAGCTATTCACCCTGTCGGGTTCACTGTGCTTAAAGAGGCCTGGAATGTCACAGTGTGATTACTGAGCTAGTAAGACTGAAGACAGATTTGTATGGCCACTGTATCTGCAAAAATACTTGCCTTCTGCCTGGCCCTTCTGAGCCAAGTTACACTGCGATCTGTAACTGCGCGAAAGGCTAGAGGGCACAGTCTGTAACTGCAAGGCAGTAGCCACAAGTCTGTCTTGAAGTTTAAGGCAAATAACCAGATGAATATGGGGTCTGGTTCTTTCAAAAATAAACCCAAATGTTTTTTTGGATGCTCTCTTCTAAAGATCAGGGGAATGAGAAATTATAACAAATGTTAGAAATTCTGAGCTGGGAAAAACAAATTAGCAACTCACAAATGTCAGGTCCCTCCTCCATCCAGCAGAACAGATCCACAAATAGCATTACTCAAAGGGCCATTATTATCCACAATAATTATATACAACACATTGCGTTTACCTTTCGGCAAAGCTATTTGAGCATAAAAACATTTTTCGGAGAAAAAAAACTAGCTAAAGTCACACAGGCAAGTATTATTTTTCATTTTTATCTATTGTTCCTAGATTTAATCACCTGCTCATATAGAGTAGGAAAAAAAAGAATGCACTGCACAAAACCACAAAATTACAGACTACCTGAAAGCCCTCAGCTAAAGTGAGTCAAAGTCTAATAAAGCCTCAGGAAGTCAGGAATGGAAGTGATCACAGAACAACACCGGCCAGCTCCTATTCAAAGCAAATGCTGTTATCAGGCGCTTCCTCGTCGTGACCCCGGCACAACAGAACGAAGCACCATCAGTCCTGCACCACCCTCACAGTTTGTCTCATGCTTGAGCCCACTGCTGCAGCCACAGTGTCAATCGTCTCATCGGGGGGCTTCCTCTTTTCTGCTGGCCTCCACTTTACCAAGCACGGTCCCTCCTGACAACCTGCCCGCATATGGGAGATGAAGCCTCACATCCTTGCAAAGAAGCATTCTGGCTGTACTTTTTCCAGGACAGATTTGTCCCTCTTCCAGCAGTCTATGGCACTGTCAGTAGTTTTGACCAGTACCATAATTCAAAACAAACGGAGACTTAAAACAAAACAAACTCACTGCTGGCGAACTGATGCTGACTCATAGCCACCCTGAGGGTAGAACTGCCCCTGTGGGTTTCTGAGACTGTAACTATGTGATTAGAAAGACTCATCTTTCTCCCACGGAGCGGTTACTAGGTTTGAACTACTGATTTGTGTTTTGCAGCCTCAACACGCAACTCACTACACCACCAGGACCTGAAGGGAAAAAACATTCATGGACAATATTGAGTAAGTGTCCCAATTAGTAAAGATCTTACCTCCATTGGACTAATAAACTCATTCATGCCTCTGTTGTAGACATAGATCATAGCATCATAGAGACGGTTCTCCCAGCACATGAGAACTACCTGTCAAAGGGAAAGACTGGTCATCCTTCTAATCAGTGGTCCTCAACCTTCCTCATGCCACAACTCTTTCATACAGTCCCTCAAGTGGTGGTGACCCCCCAACCATAAAATTATTTTCACTGCTACTTTATACTGTCTTTTTTCTACTGTTATGAATTGGGCGACCCCTGTGAAAGGGTCGTTTGACTCCCAAAGGGGTCACAACCCAAAGGTTGAGAACCACTGCTTTAAGTAGTTTCCTTAAACCTTTTAAGAATGAAGAAATTCTAAATCGCTTTTCCTAATTTTTCTTTATTCCTTCTCTGAGGAAACCTGAAATTTTAACTTTCAAACAAACTGCCAAGGATAAGAGTTTTCTCTTTTTTGGTCGATTCGATACTATAAAAAGGGAACAAAATAAAACTCCAATGCAGTCAAGTCTATTCTGACTCCGGCAACCCCGGGTGTTAGCAAGCAGAGTTGCTCCGGGGGTTTTCTCGGCCATCATCTTTACAAACCCCAGGAGTCAACAGGGCTGATTTTTAATTTTGAGGAGAGCAGTTCTCCAGGTCCTTCTCTGGTGGCATCATTGAGTGCGTTCCAACCCCTAAGTGCAAACCAGGTGCGCCATCCAGGCATCTCGGGTTCACTCTTAGCTAGTCTTACGCATTTTCCAAAGTTCAATTGTGTTTCTCTTCTACCTTGCTCCCCTCTGTCTCTAGCTATAACTCTAGACAGCATCCAAAGAGGAGTTTCATGGAGACTTACTTTACCCTTCCGTGCTAGCCTTAAAGCACAGCACCAGCCTAAAAAGGCCTAAGAAACCACCTTTACCTTCCTCTTTTCATATTAACTTTCTCTTCGGTCATGAATTCTACATTTATTTATTGAACCTCTACACTCCGGCCCTCTCCTAAGTGATGAAAAGACAATCCCAAGCCTGGTTTCTACCCCAACAGAAGGTACATTCATCTTGGACACTCACCAAAACAAGGAAAGGCCACGAAATGGGATTTGAGTTAAAACCTGGGAAAGATTCTCAATTACACAACAAATTCATTAATGGCAAACAGTGAGTGCTATAAAGTACCTTGACTTGGTTGGAACACTCACAAAGTCATCCCTGAGGGAGACAGGATGTGTGTGAGCGAGCCAAAAGCTGAGGTGGAAATCACGGGCTCTGTAGACAGACACAGCAGTGAAGTCTCAGGTGGGGAGAACCTCACGGTGTTGAAGGGTGGAGAAAGACAGATTTGAGAAAAGACTTAGGAAGAGGAGTAGATATGTACTCGTTCCTTTAGAACCATTTTACTACAGAGTGACAGGAGATGAGGGCTGAAGTAGAAGAGACTGAGACAGAAAAATGGTAAGGAATAGCTAGAGAGCCAGAGGGAGATCGTAAGAGGTATCCAAGGGAGAAGCTGCTTGTACCTCCTCTCTCCCAGTACCAAGACCACACATCACTGTGCGACTCGCTCACACATTTACAGCTTCATGTCTAACCCTGCCTCTGAATTCTTGCTTAATGGTGAAACAGAGTTCCTGGTTTTGTCTCCCAAACTTATTACAGCTGTTTTCCAGACCTTAAAGGAGTTGTTATCTATCAAAAGATTAGACATGGCTCTCTGAATGTTCTCTTCCCCACCCTCACATACCTTTGCATCCAATTCATCAGCAAACCAATTCTACCCACAAACATTGGAAAGGAGGTTACTCCTTGTACCTCATCACCCCTATCTCCTGCAGGACCACAATGAAAGTCCCCGAGCTGTACATGGGCCGCCCCACCCCACTGCTCATTTTGTTTCTCCCTGAAGCAAACCATTGTGACCTGGCTTAAAACTTTTTAGTAATTGCCCACAGCACCGAGAATAATATAGAAAAATCTGTACCTTCCCTGCAAGGTAAAGGTCAACCTCACTCTCCCCAAGCTCCAGATCTCCATGCTACTCATTATTATTATTATCATTATTAGACCACTTGATTGACATGCAATTCACGTACCAAACAATTCAATGTTCTCAGTATATTAAAGAGTTGGCAATCATGCCTGCAGTCAGTTTTAGATAATTTTCTTCATTTTTGTGTCCATTATTATTAGCTCCCCATTTCCTCCCAACCTCACCTGTCAGAAATCTAAGGAGCTAGTTACTGTCCCTATAGATGTATCTATTCAGGATTTCATATTTTAAAACCCCCAAACAACATAATAAAACACAGAAAAACCTCAATCCAAAAGAAAGCAGAAATTAATGAAGACAAGAACAAGTTATAAATGGATCAAAGAGGAAAATAAAAGGTAAGATGTTGAATTTTAACCTAACTATATCGGTAGTAATTTACTTTCCACTCTGACGCATTACTTTCATTACACTCTAATGCACAAAACTATTCACATCAGTGGTCTGAGGGAGTTCGCGGGGAAGGGGGAGGAATCCACGTGGGGGCTCTGCAAATGGGTTTTGGGCTTTCACTGTCATCTAAAACCATCTGCAAACTGGATGCTCAAAATATAACTCCCTTCTCTGGTTTTGGATTTTATATTATTTATAATCCTTGGACCACATGGGCTGGCGGGTTTGTTCCATGTGGACTTAGCTGACATCCATGCCTTCTTTCTGATACTTAAATGCCCAAGGCACAATGCTGTTGTGGTTTGGTTTTGTACTAGCTGTTGCTTTTATCTATTTTAATCCACATCTTTGTATTACTGATTCCTTCTTGTCAATCAAATTTCAAGTTCCATCTTCCGTCTTCTGAATGGCTTTCTATATCTAGTCAATAGAAGGAAGCTTTTTATTCTCTCTCCCCACCATACTAATGTTTGATTTCTAACCTAACACTGATTTGAGGCTTGTTTATTGATCTGCTTATTGTCAATCTTTTCTTCTAAGCTATAAGCTTTATTGAGAAAACAGGCCTTGATCACCATGGTCACTAAACAACCCTCAGAGCCTGACACTCAAGAAAAGCTTTTTTTAATGAGTATTTTTTTGAATGTTCCTGAAAAAGTAAAGATTGAAAAATATTGTTAATTATAGTAGATATAGTGAAATTCATCGCCAACTCTATTGAAAACAAGGTTGAAGAGTTAGTAGGATATATAATCTTAAAAAAATTTTTTTTTAAATAGCTGCTTAGAGAATGCTTTCGAGAAATCTGATTGTGAGTAAGAGGGGTGTGATGGCTACAATCTAGGGGGAAGAAGGGAGCAGGCTTGACATGGACAGGCTGGGAATTAAGGGACATTTGTCTAATCGTAACATTAAAACAACAATACCAAAGAGTTGCACATTTACCTGGTGCATGTTTACTTGGGGAAAAGTGAGAACTCTCTTCCATCCATGTCCTGGGTAAATAACGCTGGGCTGCGAACATACGCTTCATCATGGAACCGATGTAGCCAGAGTGTAGAAAGGCACATATGGGAGAGAGTCTGGCTCTACTTGGCAAAGCCACTGCATTCACGAAAACCCTGTTTCAAAGCCTTTCATGCTATGTGATCTGGCACTTATTTTTGCTTGCTTAATTTTCAGCCTTTCCATGATCTAAATCTCTCATATTTAAACTCAATAGAGCTTAGCACTTTGGGAGGGGTAGCATGCTCAAGATTATGACTGACATGGGATTAAAGAACTACATTGTGAACTGGCTTAGGCCTCATTTAGGAATAGAGAACTTATTGTGGGAATCTGAGATATACTGGGTGCCCATTATCAAACATAGCTGACTGATCATATTTAGAAATCTTGTAATTTGCTGCTTGTATCATAATCTGCATATGCAAAGCTCAACCTATCAACTCTCAAGTTGTTAACTCTGACCATACACATTACCTCCACAGTGTGTGTGTGTAAAAATATGTATTATTCATGTGAAAGAACCTATAGTTGAAATGCCAATGCAGGAGGAAAACTACAGTTATGAGCAAGCTGACAGATGAAGAAGGATCAGCTACCAAGTACTGAACAACTATTTCTTTCTTTTTTAAAAAATCATTTTATTAGGGGCTCATACAACTCTTATCACAATCCATACACACATCAATTGTGTAAAGCGCATTTGTACATTCATTGCCCTCATCATTCTCAAAACATTTCCTCTCCACTAAACCCTCGGCATTAGGTCCTCATTTTTCCCCTCCCTCCCCGCTCCCCTCTCCCTCATGAGCCCTTGATAGTTTATAAATTGTTATTTTGTCATATCTTGCCCTGTCTGACGTCTCCCTTCACCCACTTTTCTGTTGTCCGTCCCCCAGGGAGGAGGTCACATATAGTTCCTTGTAATCGGTTCCCTCTTTCCTACCCACTCTCCCTCTACCCTCCCTGTTTTGCCACTCACACCACTGATCCTATAGGGCTCATCCACCCTGGATTCCCTGTATTTCCAGTTCCTATCTGTACCAGTGTACATCCTCTGGTCTAGCCAGACTTGCAAGGTCAAATTTGAGTCATGGTAGTGGGAGTGGGGAGGAAACATTTAGGAACTAGAGGAAAGTTATATTTTTCATCGTTGTTATATCGCACCCTGACTGGCTCATCTCCTCCCCAGAACAACTATTTCTTAAAGCAAACCCTATGCTAAGAGCTCGGGCAGGTGTCAAAGATAGACATAAGCTCTCCATTGCAGGAGTTTTAAATCTGCTTCCATTTAAAAACAGTCCATACAAATATGTCAACAAATACAAGTTTACAGGACATCTGGCCAAAGGTGCGCAATAAAAATGGGGGATGGAATCGGGAGAGGGAGAAGTTGGTGAAAAGTAGAGTGCAGTATGAAGAGTCAGGAAAATAAAACCAAGAAAAATAATGTTGACTCTAAAAGTTAGTAGATTGCCTATAAACTTACCTGTTGAATATCTAGGCTGGTGATGTCCATATGTACAATTAGGGCTTCCACATTTTCCATTAGCTTCTTATCTTGGAAATGAATGATCAAGTCTTTCATGACCTGGGGGGTGATCCCCACCAATTTATCACTTAAAATATAGGGCTCGAGGCACTCCAAAAACACTCCTTTGGCCACCGAATTCTCACTTAATTTGTCATACATCTGGCTAAATAAAAGATCCCTACAACCGGAAAGAAAATAATTTAGAATCGTTCCAAATAGTTAAATTCATACTACAAAGTGCATTCAACTCATGAGCTTATAAAGCTTATTAAGCACAGGAACAACATGAGCATTTATAGAGAGCTTTATATTCTGAATAACTTTGTGTCTATCTCAGTACAGCTTTTATAAATTAAAAAAGAGAGAGAACTTAATTAGTTACTAGAAATTTCATGGTTAGTAAATGACAGATTGTGAACCCAGCCTTCTGGTCTACCTGCCACACTCAGTCTATAGCAGCCCAGTGCTTCTTGAAGACAACACTGACATGGGAACGGAGAGTAGGAAAAACAACTGTTAGGACTTTTCTTAATTTATTCTCTTCTCCTTCTTGGTAACTAAATATTCCAAGTTGATATATAGAGTATATAGAATTTAATACGTCTCTTACTCTCCCAATCCCCTCTTCCCCCTCCCCCTCATTGTTCCCACCACCTTGCTTTCCAAAGCATTTGGATGGTGTGTACAGACACAAGCCACCCAAACTAGAACTAAACGTACTGTCACTGAATCGATTCCAACTCGTAGCGACCCTATAGGACAGAGCCGAACTGCTCCCTAGGACTCCCAGGGCTGTGAATCCTATGGAAGCGGATGAGACTCATCTTTCTTCTGCACAGGGCTTGGTGGGTTTCAGCCACAGCCCTTGCTGTTGGCAGCCCCAAACATAACCCACTACACAACTAGGGTTACGCTGATGCAAAAAATATAGATATTATTAAAATATATGTACCTGTAACACTTTTATTGCAGAAACAAATATTTTCAAAATTATAATCCATCACTCTAAATAATTTTGTTGTATTTAGTTTGCATTTCTTATATAAATATTCCTTAAATGATTTTACAGTCAAAATCAGCAGATATAATTCTGAATTCAGGTAACATTATTATATAATACATGTTGCTAACAGCAAAGTCAGCAGTTCAAAACCACTAGCTGCTCCAAAGGAGAAAGATGAGGCTTTCTACAAGTCCCAGTCTTGGGAACCCACAGGGGCAATTCTACCGAGCCCATAGGGTTGCTATGAGTTGGAATCGATTTGGTTGCAGTGAGTGTTAGCATGATCTACTCTAACATTACTGTTTTGTCCAGCTCACATATCTCAAGGTGCTGAAGCATTAGGATGTACTTAGCTTTCTCGTGGTGTTACAGATATGTTAGTTCCCGCTTTGTTGAATTTTCTTTCTTCCATAGAAACTATGTTACCAAGCCTTAGAAGGACAAAGACAATCATCCCAATGAGGAAAACTGTCAGCATGTACCCAGGACCGAGGCGAGGAGGGATCTGCTGCCTCACTGTCATGGGGTTCATTATATACAATAGCGAACCAAGGAAATCATCACAAGGGCATCATGGGCCACCATTCAATTCACCCTTGTCACACGTGGGACGCCAGAAGCAGGGGAAGGACTGTGACTGGGATACAAATTGAATGGTAAGTTTTAAAGGATTGCAGGATTGGTTCTGGGCCGTACTATCCTGGTTATATAGTGGTCAGCGTTACTTCCAGTATTTTGTTACTATGGTTGCTAGCTCCCTGAACAGCTATGTATCAAGGCTTCCCCACTTAGGGAGCCTACTACATTAGTCATACTACTTTCAGAAATGTACTTCAAGGCAAAGGATATAAAAACTTGGGGGTACTTGAGATGCACTGAAATCATATTGAAGAGGAATATAAATCACAGCACTTAGATTGCACTGGTGACGCAGACTCATACACCAGCTTCACTAGGTAACCGTTGAGTTTCTGTAGCACTGTTTTCACTTCCGTAATTGCCTAAATGAAATCATTCCCACGTCTCATTTATAAATTGCATTGCCTTTTATCATACTTATTCATAGCTATATGTTTTAAATACATGGTCCTTGCTGATTCTCTTACCTGCTAATTTTTAAAACTGCTTATTTAGTTATTTATAAGTGCACAAACTTTTATATGTTTATGATATAAATTTATCAATCACTGTAGCTTTTTATGAAAAGCTCCCCAAAAAGGTAAAGGAAGATACTGGGCCATAAGAGGAAATAGGGGCCAATTTAGGGGCCATAATTTATGTGCTAATGAGACTATCAAACTTAACCAAAAATGAAAACTCTGACTGGGCCCTTCTATCCAGTAAACACTTAAATATACTGTATTAGTCTGGGTACTTTGGAGAAACAAATCCACAGCAACTCATGTATAAGAGAGAGTTTTATGTAAAGAAAATGTGCATCACGAAAACATCCCAA